ATTGAAGGCCTTCAAATCCAAGAAGTACAACAGGGAGTTCAAAATGGCGACTTAGAAAGTCAGCCCTTGGAACATTTTATGTATGTATTGTGTTCTTGATATGTTATTTGCCATACTATATTCTCCTTTTTTTTTACCTAGCCTATCCTTTAAGTCCAATCTCTTTAAACGAAGTTTGGCCCCATACAGTGACTTTAGTTTTCCTCAACTCGTCTTTGAACCCTGTTATATACTGCTGGAAGATGGGACCCATTCGTCGCACTCTCATGGACATAATGCGAGGCATTGTCAATCGGTTTAGAGAATAACATTTGTTATAAGTAATTTTTGTTGTAAATATAAGCTTTCAGAAATCTCCAGACTGCTTAGTCATGGTGATATGCGTACCAAAGTACTTTCTAATACATGTCATCAAGTCACGCAATTATTACGTAATATTATTAAAATAGTTCTTTTGTAAGCTTTTGGAATGTTCCAGAACACTTTTTTAATGTATATAAAGACCTAGTTATATAGTAGTAGTTGTTGTTTTGTTAGAAAGCTATACCGTAAGATGAACTTTAACGGTTAAGAAAACTACACAATGAGGTACTATAGAGACAAGCATAAAAAAGCATCAGTTGCTAGTTCCAAGCACATTTGTAAGAGAAATTTATTAATGACCATGCAGATGTCTTCCTCGCTACTTGAAATATAATTTCAAGGTTATGCCATTAGTTAATGTATGTATTTTTAATATATTTGTCGAAGGGATTATAAATTTTTAACCTTGTGAAGTGTATAGCTCGTGAATTAAATATAAAACCGATTTTTAGGTCACTTTATAATGTAGTAAGGGCCACGAGTTCATCAGTGTTTTTACTAAAGATAAATCTTTGAACAGAGCCTTTATTTACTTGCGATCACGCATAGACTTTCAGAATTAAGTTGTGCGGTTTCTAATATAAAGAATAAAGTTAAGTCGAATAGACTTGACGGTTGTTCATTCGACAAAAAGTCTCAACATTAGCAATAGCAACCCCAAGTACTTATTTACTTAGGCAAAGATAGAAGGTTAGACATTTTATGCTAATTACACAAAGTACAAAGAGCTCTATGTCTTTTACTCAGACATTTAGTCCGTTTTGAAAAATTTAGTATTAATTTTCACATTTTTTTAATTGTACCTTGCACCAATCAATCAATGTTCTCGGCCATCCTTGCTTTTTTTTGTCAGAAAAGACCTCAAATTACATGACGTAGCTTCTCACTAACTTCAGTCGGCGGAAGACCAGTTGGCTATGTACAAACCATGACGTCAGACTCCAAACCCGCTCCCAGGAGGAGGCTGGCTAGAGTCAGGCCACAGACATCCGGATTGCAAATTAAGCGTTAAGGCCCACTTTAGTTCTCTCTGCCATTATAAGAGAAAATTAGTGATGCATAAAGTTAACGCACTTTTGGAAATTTTCACTAAAGTCAGTTGTTACAGATCGATCCACAGGGAACGCCCAGATTCCTCAGATCTCCCTGTACAGATCCATCACAGAACATAGAACAGTTTGATTTAGGAATGTCAAACTTTGGAATTCCTTAGACCCGTCACTCAAGTGGAAAAGGACATTGACAGAATTCAAACATTACGTTATAAGCAGTTTGGAAAGGGCATAGTCAAATATAATGCTTTTAAACAAAATTTTACTTTGTTTTGTTCAACCTCTGAACATAAAGGTGTATCGTTCACATTATGAATTTTTCGATGGAGAATTTTTGATAGGCGCGATGTACTGTATGCTTTAGGAAATTACAAAGTTGAGAATGATCAGCCGCCTGAAGCTGCAAATGTGCTTTACTGGTTTGAAAAGGTCCCTTACCTGTTGTGCTGAAAACTGGGGAGAACCCTGCTATTGATGGGAATATGGTGACGAGAAAACAAAAATAAATTAGTTGAATTAAAATCACTCGTTGATAGCGTGGGGATTAAGAGTGCCGATTTGGAAGATAAATTTTTGTTCTAGTGTTTTGTGCCTTTCCGAGCTGCCTAAATGTAGGGGAAGGCCGGAAACTGCCACATGTTCTATAGAATACTTAGGGAGATTAGAGTGTTTAGCGACTGGTTTGGATGCGTCCCTGTCATTTCTTTCTACGTTGCGAAGGTGTTCTCGGAATCGGTCACCTAGTCGTCTGCATTCATATGATTGCACATATAGATGGTTGCATAATGCATTGCACCATATAACACTTTTGGTCTAGTATAGTGGCACAAGATTCAGATGGAGTATTCTTATGCGCACAATTTTTAGACCAACCCTCATTTAATTTACATCGTTTAAGCGCTTGATTCAGAATTATTGTTTGATAAAATGTCGTATCTGAGCTAAGTGCGGGTGTTCATGAGCTGAAGTGGATCACTTTTGAAAGGTTTCGGCTACGCAGACGTTTTTGCACATAGATTGTGGCAAAGTTTAACATGGTTGCTGTGTAGCGGATGAAACTGTTGAAAACACAGTTTACGATAAAAAATGAGATTCTCAAACTCGGAGATTAATGTCGACCCACAATATTAATGTCGTGTTAAACTGCCTGAAACTGGAAAAGAAGCTCCTCTGAGGTATGCGGAATATCTTTTGACGAAAAACAGAACGAAGTATCTTTTTCCATATAAAATGATTCACAAAGGTATTGAAAATTATATATTGAAAAAAAAAACACCCAAAGCGTACCTCAGCCAATCAAATGCAGCCATTTTAAAGTTATGATGCCCCTATGTTTATCAGTGATTTATCAGCTGTGCTATTACACTGTTAACAAAAAGAGCTCTGAAATCAGTTGAATTGAATGAGTTATATCCGCTTTTCTTTATATTAACTTGTAATATACTCTTAACTTTTGTACTTAATTTGAAAACAGTTCCTGCTATCAATGACGTGGTGCGGCTTGGGGAATCAAGAGTACTCTTTAATATTACACTTCGTGGACACTAACTCGAAGGTAGATCTTATTATCTAGAAAGTTACAGGATAGAATGTCTTCGAAATTTCTCTTGATAAAATAATGAGGCGATGTACTTTGAGTGAAGTGAAGAGACTGCGAAATATTACCCTTAGTCGTACCGGTTTTGTGTCACGCTCGACGTATGAATTCGAAGTTGACAGCTGTTGTATTTTGTTTTCATTCTAGAGTTACTGACAATGCCATTTGCGTTGATTTGAATAATTGCATGCAGTCATATCACTTTTAGTATTCGTCAAATCTTCATGTTTGGTATTCAAATTAACGAAAAGGGCATCGTTATAAGAAACGCTCGAGAGATTAGAAAGAAAAGACAACAGCTGTTTACTTTAATAACATACTGAAAAAACCTGAGATAAGGAAAGAGAGGAAAAAATTTTCGTCACGTTTTTTTCTTTTTTTCCAAAGAAGCCTCGTCATTTTATTTCAAGTCATTGTAGTTGCAAAGAGACTTGTCCTGCCCCCCCTCCCCCCGGGGAAAAAGTCGGAAGCTTGCTACTCAAGCATAGTGATGACTTCTTTAAAAGTGCAAGCCTTAACTCTTTCTGTTTTTATCAAACCTCCTAGGTGCGCCGTTCTTATATCACGATTACTTCATACCGTTCAGTTGATGTTGTGATTTTCAGAGATGTCGCTCTATTGCAAGTTGGCCGCCTTCCAGTTCACCGAAAAGCTGCTCAAATGACCTGACTGGGGGATGGCGGTTTAACGATTGTCACAACTCCAATTTGAACGGGCAGTTCATGGGGAACACAAAAGCTTATAGTGGTATTGGCTGGGTTCGATTTAAACAAATCTTTTTCGCACAAATTCGTGAAGCAATTTTTATAAAGTATTTGTTACAAAAAATTGAAAGGCGTAACTGTTTCGTTCAGAAACATAAACATAAACCGTTATGCCCCGCTTTAGATAACTAAAATTATTATATCTCTTGGTTAGTAAGAGGGCTATGATTGGTCAATTTATTTCTGTCTATCACTCTACGGCCCGCTTAACTCAAAGGTT